AAAAAAAAAAAGAAATGTAGTAAAATCAAGTAGACCAGATTCTCATTTTATCTGACAGACATGTCGTGCAAATAGGTCAACGGTTCTTAGCTCTGGCCGAATATTAGAGTCACATGAGAGCTTTTGTAAAATGTCCAAAATTTCAGTGTACAATTTGGTTTGCCCAGTCAGCCCTTAGGCAGTTAGCCCCCCACCCCTGGAGCTAAGGCTTCCCCTCCCTGCCCCCCTGAGGGGCTGGGCCCCAGGACTTGCTCTCAGTGATGATGAATGAACGTTGGTGAACACACCATGGCATCTGTGCAGTGGGGCCATGGCCAGGAGCAGAACCCCCAACACCCCCACCCCAGCCGCTGCCCTTTGTCTGGGCCCACCTGCACCCCCTGGGCAGCCCGAGACCCCATGCTGAGGGGCCCTGGCCTCCAGGGCCTGCGACCTGACACTGAGTAGCCCAGAGAGGTTATTGCTTCATCCTCTCAAACGTCCACCTGTCCACGCTCTCGCTTAGCCATGTCCTGTCCATCCATTTATACATCCCTGTATCTAATAGCCACCGATCCAGAGATCCTCCTGTCCAGACTCATCCATCATCTGACTGTCTCCAGCCATCCGCACAGCCTGAACACGAGAGTAAATGCTGGCGTGGGTGCTTTGGTATGCAGCGCTCTGTGGCTCTGATAACTGATACCCAAAGACGATAAACCAGACGCTTGTCAAAGAGGGTGTCCGAATGGTCGACAACCAAGTATAAGGGTGTTTGGGGCCCTGCAAAGTCCCCAGATCAGTACCATTGCCCACAGCTCGTGGGAAAACGGTGGGCTCTGGCGGGTATGGGGGCAAGCGTGGGCAAATAGAATGCTCACCACCGTCCATAGTGTGTAAAATGAGACATAAACGTCCTACGTCAAAGTAATACCCGACAGAAGTGTTTACTTGGGTTCATCCCAAGTAAAACTGGCTCCAGAATAATCACAGCAGGGCTATCCATGTAACCCAGGAAGAAGTCCACAAGGGTCTACCAAGGCCGTACCTGGCAGTGTGGTCACATGAAGGAGACACTCCAGTGAAATAGACCTCCCACTACATAGAGAGACCCCACATACACACAACAACCTGAATCTCGCCCCACAGCCAGCAGAGAAGTCAGAGAAGAAAGGATATCTAGACATGAGTCCATTCACATAAAGCTTGAGAACTCACCAGACTAACACCCGTGTATGAGTTTCCAGCAGTGGTTTCTTCTGGGGGTCACCAATTGGAGGTGATATGAAGGGGCCCCTGTGCTGGGGAGCTGGTCCTATTGTATTTCTTGATGTTATGGGTTTCCCAACAGGGAAACAACCAGCTGTGCAACCACTCTGCTGGGAGAGTTGGCAGCCACTTTGTAACCATGAGGAGGACAATATTGATACAGTGAGTTGACAAGAGCAAATGATAGTTCTGAGCCCATCATTCTATGGCTAAGCTACTGAACCAGTGCTGGGCTGTCCACTCCGGCCTGTGTGTTAGTAAACACTGCAGATTTTTCTGGCTCAGGCTGGTGTTAGGTTTTCTGTTATATGCAATCAAAATAATCTAAACACAGTTTCTCAGGCCTCATGGACAGTCTTGAAAACAAGCAAGACCCGGGCCCCACTCAGATCAGTGGACTCAAAGCTAGGCCCTGCTCAGCAGGCTCAGGGTCCCCCTGACAGTCCAGTGTGGAGTCAGCCTGAAAACCACCACCCCACTCAACCTCAGCTGGTCCCTCTGTGTCTCACACTAGGGGGAGGAGGGCAGGTGACCTCCAAATCATATTACATTGATAGTTCTGGCAGCAGCAACTGTAACACTTATTTACTGAAAAGAGCCCAAGGTTGACACGGCCCATGTCCCAGCTCAGCAGTAAGTGCCTCTTCCTCTCTCCCGCCTTAGCTCTTCATCTGTTCAATGGCGAGGTGGACAGGAGCTGCCCTGTCCTAGCAGGGGCACCAGGCAGGCAGGAAGGTCCCGTCCCAGCTGGCTCAGGCCAGGCTCTCTGCCCCCTCCCTGCTTCCCCAGAAGTCCCTGAGGGTCTGGTGGGCCCAGGTCCACCTGCGGCACATGGCAGGACTCAGTGCCTCAGTGCTCCCTTCACTGGAAGTGCTGGCATGGTGCCCAGTGTCTGGCCCAGCATCCTGGTGCCCACGACTGAAGGTGTCTGTTTCAGGCCAGGAGCCAAGATCAAAAGTGCTGGACTACAATCAGAAACTTGGGCTAGCATCTCCATGCAGATGCTAGAGTACTGTGTGACCATGGCCAAGTGCCTGTGCCTCTCTGGGCCTCAGTCTTCCCATTGCAAAAGGGAGGTTTGGGGCTGGAAGGTTTCCACGGGCTCTTCCGGCTCTGAAGCATCCACAACTCTGTAAGATCAGTGTTGGTCGTGGGAGAATAGGAACCCCAGGGTGAGCGAAAGCGAGCCTGATGCCAGGAAGCCTCGGTCAAGACTCAGGGGCGCAGATGACTGGCCGTGTGACTTTGGCCAAGCCTCTTCCTCTTTTAGGACCTCGGTTCCTTTCTCAGCAGAGGTGGGGATGACACGGCTGCTCGATCACATTGTGCACTGTCCACTCGGAGCAGCACGCGCTGGCGTGTGTGGGCACTTGTGAGGCGTGGCACCCGATGCCCTCCCCTGGCCCCGTATGGGCTGGTGAGAGGCAACCGGACCTGATGAGGGAGGGCAGCCAGGTCAGTCCCCAGGGCTCGCATTGGGCAGCAACAGCCCCAGCAGGACACCGAGCACTGAATTAACTCATTAGCTCCTCTGCTCCCCGCTTCTTCCCAAAGGGCTCCGCTTTACAGGTGAGGCAGTTAAGATGCGCGGTGGAAAGGGCAGCTTTGCATGATGACAGAGTTGCGGAGTTGGGGCTCTGGAGCCCCTTTGTCCGTCAAAGGGGCTCCTCTGAGAATTCCAGAAACACTGAGCTGAGCCATCTAGTAAATGGCACAAGGGGGTTGCCAGCAGGTAGGACAGGGCGCTGTCCTTGCACAGCCCGGTCACCCGGCCTGCCTCTGAGTAGTGGGCACCGCAGAGAAGTCGCACATAGACGGGGGAGGTGACCTTCAAGGTGACCTTGAAGGTGTCAGCTGTTGACAGGGTGAAGCCCTGTCCCCGGCCGCTGTCAGCCTCGTCTCCGGCTCTCCCCCTTGAGGCCCTCAGCCTCCTCCCCGGCGGGCACTATCACTAGGGGCTGGTGGCAGACCTGGCTGCTGGAGTAAGACGGGCTTGGTTCTGCGCCTGGCCCGGGGAGTTGCAGGTGGCCAGCTGCTTCTGGGGCTGCGGTGGGGCACCCATCATGTGCAGTTAGTTTGCGGGTGCTCACAAACACTGGGGGGCATCTCTCGAGGCAGGTGGAGTGCTCAGGCTCAGTATGGGGGGCTCAGGGAGCAGCCCATGGGGTCAGCTTGACTGGGTTCAGTCACAGCTTTCCTGGCCCTGGCTATGAGACGTCTCGAGTCGCAGAGTCTTCGCCTGCAGAGTGGACAGAGTAAGAGCCTGCGCGCTGCGGAGGGTGGGCTGGGGCAGGGGTGGCAGTGCCCTGCCCTTTGGGCCTCCGTTTCC